TGTTTTGTTGAGACTTTGTAAAGTTCTTCATCGTAAAGACTTTGTAAAGAAAGTTCATGAAAATTCATGAGGTTAGAAAAGAGGTTAGAAAAGAGGTTAGATCTAACATTCTAACATAAACATTATTTTTGTCTGATTTTACGAAGAAGTCTTGACAAAACATTTACGATGAAGAAGTCTTGACAAAACATTTACGAAGAAGTCTTGACAAAACATTTACGATGAAATCATGAGTTTTCTACGATGTTAGAAAACATGTTAGAAAACGTGTTAGATCTAACATTCTAACATAAACATTATTTTTGGTCATTTACGCTCATTACGAAAAGTCTTGACAAAACATTTACGATGAAATCATGAGTTTTCTACGATGTTAGAAAACATGTTAGAAAACGTGTTAGATCTAACATTCTAACATAAACATTATTTTTGGGTCATTTACGCTCATTACGAAGAAGTCTTGACAAAACATTTGATGAAATCATGAGTTTTCTACGATGTTAGAAAACATGTTAGAAAACGTGTTAGATCTAACATTCTAACATAAACATTATTTTTGGGTCATTTACGCTCATTACGAAGAAGTCTTGACAAAACATTACGATGAAATCATGAGTTTTCTACGATGTTAGAAAACATGTTAGAAAACGTGTTAGATCTAACATTCTAACATAAACATTATTTTTGTCTGATTTTACGAAGAAGTCTTGACAAAATTTACGATGAAGAAGTCTGACAAAGTCTTTACGAAGAAGTCTTGACAAAACATTTACGAAGAAGTCTTGACAAAACATTTACGATGAAGAAGTCTTGACAAAACATTTACGATGAAGAAGTCTTGACAAAACATTTACGAAGAAATCATGAGTTTTCTACGATGTTAGAAAAGAGGTTAGAAAAGAGGTTAGATCTAACATTCTAACATAAACATTATTTTTGTCTGATTTTACGAAGAAGTCTTGACAAAACATTTACGATGAAGAAGTCTTGACAAAACATTTACGAAGAAATCATGAGTTTTCTACGATGTTAGAAAAGAGGTTAGAAAAGAGGTTAGATCTAACATTCTAACATAAACATTATTTTTGTCTGATTTTACGAAGAAGTCTTGACAAAACATTTACGATGAAGAAGTCTTGACAAAACATCCTCAGGGCTAGAGGGCACGAAGTGCCTGGAAGCCCCACTACCTTTTTTTTTTTTTTTTTTTTTTTTTTTTTTTTTTTTTTGTATCAAATGGAGAACAAAATGTTTCTTCATATGAAGGAAAAAAATTTTCTTGTGAAGAAATAGAGTTTTTAAAATTTTATTGAATGTAATGAAATAAACAAATATTAAAATTATTTTTTGATAACAAGAAAATTCCCAATAGAAAATATTTGAGAGAAAGAAAAAAAAGAAAATTGAAAAATATTACTCTCCTTTACATTTCATGAGATTTTCAATTTATTTTTATAAAATTGACAATTTTATACGTTTAGATGAAAATAAGTGATTTTGCTTGAAATAAAAATTATTGTTTGTTTACAGCTATCAAATAGATTTTTGCTATTTTGATTAAAATTTGTTAATCAAATTAATAATTTTTTTCTAAATATCTTAAATATCTGGATCACTCACTGATACGATGAATTAAACGATAAAAATAATACAAACTCAACTAAGTTTCCTGTCTTTCAACCAAAAAATATTATGCAATTTAAATTAAATTGTTTATTCAAATATAAAACAAAGATGAAATAATTACAGTTATCATAAACTTTATGAATAACTCTGTAATTGGTTCAGATTTTCGTAAAAATATTTTTATTAATATCGATAAGAATATGTTTACCTACTATCATCACATATCTATAAACAAGAGTAGAGTGATTTTTATCATCGAAACTTTTTAAAAGCTGCAAGCTGGAAGGAAAAATCTTGTTTTTTTTTCTGAGTTAGTTGTAGAACTATTGATGCACGAGTTATCATTGTGATGTAGAAGGATGTCAATGTACTGACTGAAGGATATGAAGTGAATTGAATTTCATTGCATTTCAATTTGATCAAAATTTGTTGAAATGATATGAATGTGTCAACATCTGTATCACTCTCTTTCACTCCTTCCCTATTCTTTCGAGAACGAAGCTAGCTCAGCTTTCGCTGAGCGAATTGACACTTTTGATGCCCTAAACGTACATACTCTCAAATTTATCGAAAAAAATAATACTACCTAAACTCGTATATTCTTATTTTAAATATGATATTATCCTTAGATTCCACACTAGAATATATTTAAATCAACTTTTAAAAAAGTTCGAATCCTGCGCATCTCACTTTTTAAATTTTCGAAAAGGAAAATTATATTCTCCTAAAATGAAAACAATTTTCCGAATTGACATCCTTATTCATAGATATATACTTTTAATAAAATAACAAAACTCAGTTTCATCATAACAGACTTGTCTAATATTACTGAAGGGGTGTATAGCCTATAATGTATTATTAATTAATGTCAAATAAGGAAATCCATATGTTTACTCTATGGTACAAAAAAAAATCTGACACCTTAGGTCATCCTGAAGGCTCCACGCTCATAAATTGAGAGGGCCGTAATCCTCCTTTTTTTTAATGGCCCATAACTCCGTGAATACCCAAAGACAAGGGGTCGGAGTATGACCAAATGAAACTGTAGCTTCAACAGCATAAAAAAAGGGTTTTTCCTCCAAGATCTAATAAATTTCGAAAAATCGAAAGTTGCTCTTATTTGTTTTGTTTACCAATGAGCTCTTACACTGCACCATTGTTTTTCGTTATTTGCAATATTTATTTCATACTCGATAAATAACTTCTACAAATCATATATGCACATTAGGATATATTTTATTACGCATAAAGAGTAAAATTCTGAAACAATACAGAATTCTTTTGAATATTTTGTGCATATTTTAAATCATCTATAATAATTAGAGTTTGTTTCATTTTATTCTATACCAATCAATTCAAAAGATTAGACGAATTGATCGTTTTATTGTAATTTATTATAGCTTATAGTTTTTGTCATAATTTTAACAAATATCATATGTAATTTCAATAATTTCGTATTCTTGATCATATTTTTCTAATACATATACATGATAATGCTGAAGTCATACGTTTGAGGTCAAGATTGAGAGTTATTGATATTAATCTCTTTTGAAACTAAACTTTTTGAAACAATAATCAAAAATTATTTACTTTTATTTGATTTTATAGCAATCATCATTAGATAATAAAACATTAGCCAGCCCTTGGGGTTGGGGCGCGATCAAATACTTGAAAATTAATTTTGGAGTCCATAAGTGCATAGTATAATGGTTAGAATTCCCTATAATAAATCTTGTTTTGAAGTTCATTTGCCGAACACAAAACTTTTTTTCGAAATCGAAATTATTTCAAGAAAATATATCTTATTTTTTGCTTTTTAAGATAGTCATTATACACAAAATATTAGTAAACTATTTTTATTTGAATTACTAAAACTTTCAATTTTTTTATTCTCTGATATAGACTCTTATATGATGCATTATGAAATATATATGATTTTCTTCTGCTGTTAGTTATATTACAATGAATACTTAATCATCTACAAAGATTATACATAAACTTTCGAATTCATTGTATGTTACAATCATTCTAATTTAAAATTTATGAAACTCCAAAGATGTATTTGTATAATGAATTACTAAATATTTCATAATGTAGGTATGAATTTATCAAATTCGATATTTCAAATTTTATAATTCGTATAAAAGGATATATTTTTACATTATGCTGGGTAAAAGCATGGGAAAGTTTAAATAGTTCTTAAGACAGTATTTGTAGTAGTGAAAATTGAAATACACTAAAATTATTGAGTCAGCTTTGGTAGATGATTAAGTATTCATTGTAATATAACTAACAGCAGAAGAAAATCATATATATTTCATAATGCATCATATAAGAGTCTATATCAGAGAATAAAAAAATTGAAAGTTTTAGTAATTCAAATAAAAATAGTTTACTAATATTTTGTGTATAATGACTATCTTAAAAAGCAAAAAATAAGATATATTTTCTTGAAATAATTTCGATTTCGAAAAAAAGTTTTGTGTTCGGCAAATGAACTTCAAAACAAGATTTATTATAGGGAATTCTAACCATTATACTATGCACTTATGGACTCCAAAATTAATTTTCAAGTATTTGATCGCGCCCCAACCCCAAGGGCTGTTTTTTTGTGAATGTGAAGAAACAGTGTGGACTACTATTATTTTCTATCCATTGACTCGCATGATTTATATACAAAAGTTCTTGATTTTCGACTATATTAGTATTTTGAGATTATATTGCCTATACTAATAAAAAATCAGTAAAATACAATCTTCATATATTTTAAAATATTATCTATTTCATATCAACCCATGAATGAAGATAATCGAAATCAAGAAATTTTCTAGTTCATTCAAATCAAAAACTGAACTCATCATTACAATTTTGATATTATACAAATAATATATTAATATTTATAAATGCAAAATTCAAGTTTTTTTAGGAAATTGGCAATCTACTTCTCAGATTTGTGAAACTTTTGTTTCTCTGGAATCCTTGTCTTATAAGGGATGTTTCAATTTTTTATGCGCGTGGATGGGTTTTGAGATTTTGTATCTTTCATAAAAATGAAAAAGAATGTGATAATTAGTTTCTCCTAATATTGCGATTAGTCATGCTGCAATCAGATTTTAAAAAATTTTCTCACCGATGTAAATATGTCAATTTTTTTCCAAAATTGATTTTGGACGAAAAAAACAAGTTTTTTCAAATTAGTTATTTATTCAATTTGAGTGCTACCAATAGATCCCTCTCATCATGGAGATGATGGATCAGATGTCTGTTCATCCCAAAACCAAACCTATGAGGCTACAAGTGTGCTTTTAGGCAAAATCTTAATTGAATGCCCTCTCAAAATTGAATGCATGAACGCGGAGCCTTAAAAAAGAATATTATATTTGTGCACCATGTGAAATAAGAAGTTCAGCGATTTCTTTACTATTATTTTCTGCTGTAATATGAAGGGCGGTTTCTCCATAATTATTTTTTTCATTGATATTTATTCCATGTGAAATAAGAAGTTCCGCTGTTTCTTTGCTATTATAACATGCTGCTTTATGAAGGACGGTTTGTCCATTATTATTTTTTTTCATTGATATTTATTCCATGTGAAATAAGAAGTTCCGCTGTTTCTTTGCTATTAAAAATTGCTGCTTCATGAAGAGCGGTTTCTCCATCATTATCTTTTTCATTGATATTTATTCCATGTGAAATAAGAAGTTCCGCTGTTTTTTTACAATCATTTCTTGTTGCATAATGAAGAGCGGTTTGTCCATTATTATCTTTTTCATTGATATTGGCACCATGTGAAATAAGAAATTCAGAAATTTCTTTACTATTATTTTCTGCTGTAATATGAAGGGCGGTTTCTCCATAATTATTTTTTTCATTGATATTTATTCCATGTGAAATAAGAAGTTCCGCTGTTTCTTTGCTATTATAACATGCTGCTTTATGAAGGACGGTTTGTCCATTATTATTTTTTTCATTGATATTTATTCCATGTGAAATAAGAAGTTCCGCTGTTTCTTTACTATGATTTCTTGCTGTAACATGAAGAGCTGTTTCTCAATCATTATTTTTTTCATTGATATTTGCTCCGTTTGATAGGAAATATTCACAAAGAGATGGAATATTAAACATCGCCGAATAAACAAAGCATTTGCCAATATCATTAGTTTGATCGAAATAAACTAAAAATGTTTCAAGATTATTATATTTTTCGCAATATCTTAAATTGATCTTTATACTGTATTCATTCATCAAGAATGTAACAAAATCAATGTTGTGTGAAATAATTGCATTTTCCATGCACCATCTATCTGGTTTTTGATATTTCAAACATTCACTCATTATCTCTTGATTTCCTCCTAAAAATGATAAGTCGAGACATTCTCGAGTTATTTCTGAGTTAAATTTCGTTCTCAATAACTTGAAACAATCAACTGCTCCGTGATAACAACATAATTCAAGTAATGAATATCTTTCGTAATGATGTGGATATAAATCGCTTTCAAATGCTTGATCTTTATCAAATCCTTCTCTTTCAGTGAATGCAATGAATGTTTCTATGTTATTATACGTAATTGCTCTGTGAATTGTATTTTTCGTTTGAATATCCAGATTTAGGGATTTAATTTGTTCGAAATTAGCAGATTTGTTTAATTTAATTCCATATTCTTTGTAAAACAGGAAATTTGAAATAAGTTCAACTCTGTTGATCTCATTGACATGATAATCATCAAATACTAGTTTCACAAGTAATAAGTATGATTTAGTATTGCGATTATTATACGGAATGATATTTAAAATGTTTCGCATAATTGTTTGGGGAGAATATTTCTTTGAATCAATCAAGTTTGTTTTGATCATTTTGTAAATTGAGTTTAATTCTTCTTCTTTTTCCGTTTTTAACTGATACAATGCATTATATGAATCGATGTGATAATTATAGATACTTCGCAGTTCGCTGAATTTATTTGGATTAATGTCTTCGTCGGACATTAAGGGATCACCACCTTAGTTTACAAAAAAATACGTTATTTACACTCTGAGTCTTCTTCTAGAGGTCTTTTTTAGATTTTGAAACAATGAAAAGATAGAACATGATCAATGTATGCTATATTTAAGTTTATTCATAAAAATATCAATTCTATCATAGAGAAAAAGTGCATTTAAGTTCAAAAAATTGAATAGTTGTAAACTAAGACACTGATCCCTTAAATAATTTTTAAAAAGGAGACATTTGCAGTTTAACATATTATTATCTTTTAAACTCATTAGATGAAACAAATATTATATTAGACATGTGGAAATCAATGATCACAAAGATTAGTAGTAGGATATGACGGGTTTAGTGACTTTTTTTGTTACATCTATATATAGACGATGCATTAAAATATATTTATTTATAAATCATTTAAAAAATTAACATTAATTTTAAAATAATTTATTTTTTTATCTTTTATAAAAGAAGCTATATATAGATGATGTCAGATATTCCGCGATTAATTAAACATTGTTTAAATCCTGAATGGGTTAAACTTCAATTTAAAAATGAAGATTGTGAATTATTAAATGAATATGAAAGCCAAAATAAGCTAATGAGGTATAAATATAATGATAAAGAATATTTAATTTCATGGAATCAATGGAGTCATAATCAAAGACCTCATAAACGAGAAGAAGAAATTGAAAATAATGAAATGGAAATCATTGATGACATTAAAGAGGATGGAATTCCTAAATTTTGTAGAAAAACCTTTAGAACTAAGTTAGGAGCATATAAACGGAGAGTATTAAATCCTGAATATCTTAAACATCAATTTAAAAAGGAAGACTGTGAATTATTAAACGTAATGAATATGAAAATGCTAAATCAAAACTGAGATATAAATATATTGGAAGTGATGAAAGGTGTAAAGATAAAGATAAAGTTTATTCAGTTTCATATAATAACTGGCACACGTTAGGGATAAGAAAACATTTAGGAGATTATGGGAAATGTTCTGAATTCTTTAAATCTAGTATATACGAGAGAGTAAAAGAAATTAGAAATAATTATTTTCATGAATAAAAGATTCACTACCATAATGAAATAAAAAATAAAATAAACTTTAAAAAATAAACTTCTTACGAAAAATTAAAACTTAGTTATGTTTATTATTTTATTTTTTTATTTTGTATGAAATGAGCGTCAAAACTAACAACGTTAAAAAATTAGGATTCACAAACGAGGAAATAAAGGATATATTAGAGGAGGTAGGTTATGAAGTTAATAAATATTATTTAAGAAATTGTCAAAAATTTGCCGAGTTATTAAATGATTTAGATTATGATGGAAAAATGAATAAAGATGATGTTATAAATTTCTTATATCCCACATCTGAAGAAGAAAAACCTAAAGAACCTGATGTTTTCCCTGAATATTATGAAGAACGGATTAAAGATGATGAATACAATGAAATTGAAAGACTGAAAAAAATAAGAGATGAAATAGATGAAAAAATTAAGGAATTAAGAGAAGTTGAAAAATATAATGAAAATGAAGTAGAGGGTTTAATGAATATCCCAGCTTCAGAATCAGAAGTCAGAAATCTCATGAAGAAAGATATAAAAATTATGTCTCAGAATCAACACAAAATTTATTAGATGGTGAAATAGACGAAACACTTTCAGAAGAAGGTACTAAATTTATTCGTAAACATAAGTTACAATTTATTGATAATGAAGAATACCCTTGTATCTTACTTTCACCACCTTAGATTCTGAAAATTCAAAAAAGCTCTTAAAAACGTGACATATGCAACTAATACGATTAAGAAAGAAGATCATGATATTTACACAAATTATTATTTAAATAAATGCACAGGTGTTGATAAAGTTTTTGATTTATTAGATAAAATATCAAAAGAAACCATTGGAACATATAAAATTTTATGTGATTGCGGTTTCATTGTTGAAGATACAATAATGTTTCATATGAAAGAACAGCACCGAAGGAAGACGAAGTGAAAGGTCTATACCATTCGTTATTAAGAACATAAAAGATATGAAAACTTATAAACATTATATTTATTCATTTATTTCAGAAAAAATGGAAGCAACCCATAAAACATCTTCTCATCATTTTATAGCTATTCATACATTCCTTTTCAAAGTTGTGAAATTAAATAAGACAGGAATTAGATTTAATGTATCAGGGTACGCATTCTTGAGTAAATTAAAATGTATTCGTCACGTCGCAGATGATAAAAATTTATGTGTTCTTAATTCATTTTATGGGCTTTAAAAAATAAACTTTATTTTTATTTATTTTTTAATTTTTTATTCTTACATAAATGAACAAAAACGGAACAGCTAAAATGAATGATAATCAAATTAGAGCAGAAGGTAGAAGGTTATTTAAACGCTTCTATAACATTCCTGATGGTGTTAATCCTAAAACTCGTAGAAGCTATTTAAATGAAGCAATAGATGCATATGAAGGGTTTGACATTTCATCAGAAAGTGAGAGATTAGCGAGAATGTTAAATGTTAATATTGATTTCTATTATTGTGATCCTCAACCAGAAGACGTGGACATAAATAAGGTAGACTTTCCATTAGTGGAATCAATAATGATAGATCCAGAATTTGAAACAGTAAATATTTTATTAACACAGAGTCCATGTGGAAAACTTCACGCTGACAGAATAACAGACGTTGAAGCACTCACCGGCTATAAAGTTTGTCCATATTGTAAAGAAGAAGTTTATTCTATCCGTGATGATCCAGAAAGGAAAAACCAAAGAAGATTTTTAAAGCATTGTGAGAAATGTAAAGAAAATAATGGAAGATTAATTCAAGACGTTCAATTGCAAAAGACCAGCAACCATATGCACCACATATTACGAAACAGAAGATATATCAGTGGTTATTAGCTCACAATTTGCAGAATATTATAAACCGACAAGATATTATATTACTTTTGACTTGAAACATTAGAGACTAAAGAAGAATTACAACTTTCTGAGTGTGCAACTTTGAACGCTTACTTAAAACCATTCATGGTATCATCAACGGTTAAATTAAATGATAAAACATATACGAGGAATTTTTGCTTAACTTCGAGTGATTCTTTTATTTCTGATTGGATTGAGTTTTTATTTTCAACCTGTTCATTAGTTGAATCAAATATGAGTCAATACAATGAATTATTGAAGCCGCAAACGGCGGGGACTTTGTCCCATACATTAAATGAAAAACAGAAGGAAGCATTTAAAGAACTTCTAGATGAGGAATTCAATAAAGTGAATATCATAGGTTTTAATTCGGGAAAGTTTGATTTAAATTTAATTCTTCGTGATTTAAACACTGCAAAATGGAAAATAAAATCAATGCTGGGTTCATCTTCACAATTTAAGCAAATCATTGTAAAGAAAACAAACGTTCCATATGAATTGAGATTTATTGACATCAGAAATTATATAGCGGGTGGGACATTAGACCAATTCACTCAAGATTTCGGAAACAATAAATCACGTGTTAAATCCTTTTTCCCTTATCAATTCATCACGTGGGAGAATTACGAAGAAGAATTATATAAAGAGGAACCATTCACGAAAGATTCATTTTATTCAGCATTAACTCAAGAAACTATATCAGATAGTGATTATCAAATATATCTCAATGATGCTAAAAATTTAAGAATAGATTAGAATATTTTATTCATTATTGCAATAAAGATGTTGAAATTATGATTGACCCAATCGATAAAATTATTGAAGAAACATTTGTTTATAAAATTGATATGCTTCATAATCTTTCTTTATCATCGAATGCTTCAATGATTCGTTACGCTTTAGCATATAAAGACTTTAATCCTAATGAAAAATATCCTGAGGAAGAGATAGAATCAAGTTTTGAATTAACGAAAAAGTATTGGAAATATAAAATTGAATCATATAAGAAACAAGATGAAAAAGCAGAAAGGATACTAAAAATAATGTTTCAATGGATGATTTTCAATACTATCACGATTTAATCCTTTCATCTAAATGCAAAATGTGTGGTAAAGCGTTTACATATGCAAATAAACCATTGGATAGAATCGATAATGAAAAACCACATACCAAAGAAAATTGTCAGTTAATGTGTTGTTATTGCAATGTCGTAAAATCAAATAAAGATGAAGATGTTCAACGTTTAAGAATCAATTTAAGAAATTATGCATTAAAAAATAATTTACCAATGACTTTAGATTCAGTTGAAGCTTATCACATTCTCCGTAATGGAATTACTGGTGGTTTATCAAATGTTCAACATAGAGTAAATCTTAAAGGAATCACGCACATTAATAAACTTTCATATAATCCAGAAACTAAAACTGTATCAAATGAGGACACCACCAACATTATGACTCATTTCGTTGGTGTTGATTTTAATTCATTATATCCTTCATCATTTTCATCTAATCCTCATGATTTCATTCAATATACTGACCATAAAATGTATATGCCGGGAAGATTGAATGGTGTTATCATTTGTGATACAGCAACAAAGAAAGCAAAAGCACTGGGAATAATTAAGAAGAAAAATACTTTATTCGTGGCTGAAGTAAAGGGTCACATTGATGAAAAATACATTAATGATTACATAAACTTTTTACCGATAATAAGAAACTTAGATATTATCACAGATGAAAAAACAATTGGCAGTTTTATGTATAATTACATGAAATCAAACAATCTACCAGTTGACCAGAAACAGAGGAAATTAACTCAGTTAGCATCAACACACAACCAATATCAACCATTTTCTTCTTATTATCTTTGGTATCTAATAGACAGATTTCATTTTATCATCGATGATATTCAATCAATTTTAACATTTACGAAAAACACTTGTTTTAATGAATTTGCGAACGAATTTATGAACGAAAGACAAAAGGCTGAATTAGAAGGAAATAAAGGAAAAAGTTTATTTTGCAAGATTTCGCTTAATGGATCATATGGTTACGATGCAATGAATACACAAAATTACGCAAAGACTAAAATAATGAATGCACAGAAGGCACGCGTTGCATGTATGTCAAATAAGTTTAAAAACATAAGAGAAATAGGTGAAGATACATATCAAGTGATGCTTAAAGATAGATTTTATAGATGTGATACATGTTTACAAGAGGCATTCTTCACTTTAGATAACGCAAATACTGGTATTTGTTTTCATTTATGATTTTATGTATAAATGCATGGATGTTAATCGTTTTCATTTCATTGAAGGTGATACTGATTCATCTTATTGGGCAATCGCTGGCGACCCAAATCTTCCTAACACTCAAGCATTTCAAGCAATTGTTACCGATAAACAATTTTATGATAAAAACATTTTCAAATTCGCACCATTTTGATTTCTTCTGTTTTGATGAGAAATTTAAACCTAAATTAAAGAATAAAGCTGAAGAAAAAGCACATGAGAAGAAGTTATTGGGTTTAGCAATTGAGAAACAAGGTGATAACATGGTTGCTTTATGCCCTAAGTGTTATACATCATTCAACGGTTCAATTGATGGAAGTGATTTTAAAAAGATTGCACAAAAAATGAAAGGTGTTAGTTTACGACAAAATAAAATTAACACCTAAAAATTATTTGGATATAATAAATGATAAAGTTATTTTGATGGTCAGAATATTAATTTACAACTTAAAAACGGGTCAATGACTCGCTTAACAATCGGTAAGACTGCATTAACAGGAGCACACACTAAGGCTGTATGTTGTGAAAATGGATGTTGTATGCCATTTATTTAATACAATTTAAAATTTTATTTTTAATAAAATGCCACAGAAGAGACAAAAGGAACCAAATCGATTTATACCAAATGGTTTTAACTTTCAGATTCCAAATAATCAACCACAACGAATTTTTCAAATCCCACCACAGCATCAACAGCCGCAACAACGACCACCACACCACCACCACAAGTCAACGGAGAAGAACATTCACCCCTGAAGAAAGAAATTTCAATAATTTGATGCGTCAACAAAATCAAGGTTTGAGATTTTATCCGGGCAGTAATGGTATACATATAAGGCATCCAAATTTAGATAGAAGATATACCGCTGAGATTCATATTTTACCTAATAATACGGTTAATTTTGCTGGATTTTATGATCATCATCAGGAAATCTGGACTCCACCATTTGATACCGTTTTAGAAGGAGGAACCGTTAATGATGCGATTCAATATGTAAATAATGGTTTTGATACTATGATTCAAAGAGGTGGGCACCCTTAAAACATTTATTTTATTTTTATATAAATGGATAACGCAGATTTAGAAAATTTAATTGATGATTTAGTACTTAATCAAAATTTTCTTAATTATTATGAATTAAAATCATATCTCCAAAAACATAATAACAATATAACGGGTGATGATATGGATTATTATTATTCGTATTATAAAAATGAAATTTTGAAATATCATGATAAAATAATTTCTGAAATTAAAGACAAAATTAAAAATAATGAATATACAAAGGGAAAAACTAAATCACAACTTAAACAGTTGAAAGATTTCAAAAATAAAGTATTAACAGAAGAAGATATTGATGAATTATATAAATTATATAATCCTGAGCCGCAAAAGCCAAAGGAACAAAAACAAAAGAAGAAAAAGCCGAAAACAACACCAAAAGAGAAAGTAGCAAATGTTCAACAGCTAAAGGTGCAAAACGCCCAGGTCCTTCAGACCATAAATGAAGCACAAGCTTTAATTTATGATTCATTAGTTAAACCATATTCAGCCCGACTTTTAAATGAAGATCAACTTTTGGAATTCATCCTTCAACATAAACTCGAAGCGGGAAAGTATATCAAACCTTTATATACAGCATATTTAAAACAAATGAATAGAATACATCCAGAATTAATGAAAGGAAAATCAACAACTAAAACTTCATCATCCAAAATCAAAGCAGATAAAATTAAACCACTTGCAACACCAAAACCTCCAACGACAGTACCTCCTCCTTCAGTTAATCCTTCATCATTCACTTTATTATATCCATTTCAAACATTAAAGAAGCAAAAAGATTTTAAAAAGGATTTCAAGATATTAAATAAACCAATTGACCCGAAAATTCAACCGTTAAAGGAAAAATTTAGTCGCCCTTCATTTGCACCATATCCATATTCATACGAAATCGATCATCTGGAATATTCAAAAGGAAACGTTACTTATTTATTCCATTAACATTAACACTAGATATTTATATTGCATTCCAGTGAAAGGGAAAACAGAACAGGAAACAAGAAGAGCTATTCAATACTTACTAGATCATGAAAGAGTAGATAATATAAGGGGTGATGGTGATAAAGGATTTCAGGCAGCTATGGTTCATTATTTCCCACAAATTAATTTTTACTTTTCATCTCTCCATATACGTTTCATAATAAAATAGTTGATGCGGTAATGAGAACTCTTAGAGATGCGTTAGGGGTTAACGGTCAGATATACTGGGATGGAAATCATGACTCCATCATACAGCAGTTAGTATATTATTACAATAATACATGGCATAGAACTATAAACATGAAACCAGTGGAAATGAAAAATGATATTTCAAAAGAATGGGAATATATTAGAAAGCAAATGGAAAGGTTAAATGATGTTAAACGTGAACAAATTAATTCGGGGCTCATGAATTTTAAACAAGGGGATAAAGTTTTGATTCATCTCGATTATGGAAAAACTGATAAATCAATGACAAAAAGAAGACGAAGATTTGACACAATAGCTGAATTTGTTAGATATATTAACGGCAATGCATTAGTTGAAGTTGACAATAAATTAATAGAAATT